TAAAAATTTTAATTAATTTATTTAATTTATTTATTTTTGGCTGCATTGCGTCTTCTTTGCTGCACGCAGGCTTTCTCTAGTTGTGGTGAGCGGGGGCTACTCTTTGTTGTGGTACATGGGCTTCTTACTGTGGTGGCTTCTCTTGTTGTGGAGCACAGGCTCTAGGTGCGTGGGCTTCAGTAGTTGTAGCACACAGGCTCAGTAGTTGTGGTGCATGGGCTTAGTTGCTCCGCGGCATGTGGGATCTTCCTGGACCAGGGCTTGAACCCATGTCCCCTTAATTGGCAGGTGGATTCTTAACCACTGCGCCACCAGGGAAGCCCCGAGATAGGTACTTTTATTATCCCCATTTTTCACGTGAGGAAACAAAGACTCAGGTGAGTTAAATCTTGTGCCTAAGGGGAGGAACTGGAATTGGAACCTGGGATTGCCAGACTCAAAGCCTGCAGGAGTCACCTCTGATGGCCTTCCTTGCTTGTCCATTCCCTTCCGACCATGGCTCTATGGGGTTCTGGGCAATCCCAGTTCTCTACCTCATGGGGTTTGGAGAGAGTGGAGTGTAGGGGGTACACAGTCTAATTTCTCTGGTGTCACCTGCTCTCTCTGGGCCTCAGTTTTCTCAGCTGTAAAATGGCTGCATGTGAGACTTCCTGCTGTAAACCAGGCCTTAAGGGCTTTGCAGCCAAGCATGGCTTGCTCCTTGGCTGAGCAACCCCGGCACTGCCTCCCATTCAGTTCTGGTTTCCAGGAGGAGCTCCCAAGCGTCCAGCCAAAGTGAATGACTTGCGCAGGGCCCAATGGCTGTGGATTCTGGTCACAGCCCCGCCCACCAGGTGCTCTCCAGTGACTCACCTCTACCCCTGCTCGTCCCTCCAGAAGCCTCTTAGAATTACCTTGCCCATGTGGTGGCTGCAGCTGCACAGGAACAATGCTGGATGTAATTTACCCCTCTTGGCTCATGCGCGCAGCCTCCTGGGGGCTGTGGAAAGAGCCGGGCCCAAAGCCAGACTGGCCACCTGGACCGCCTCGGTTTCCTCACCTGCAACGCTGCCTCCACAGCCTGAGTTCTCCCCTTCCCAGCAGGCCCCACAGCTGACCTTCCTCCCCGAGAGCCTGCCTGAGCTTGGGAACCCTTTGAAGTTTCCTTCTTTATCTTAAAGATAAAATGTTATGCAGAGTTTATGCTCAACTCAGTGCCTGGTCTGTCACGTGGCTCTGAGTGCTCCTCCCACTGCCTGCTGTCTCAGAGGGAGGCCCCTGGTCCTGACGCCACAGAAGTCCAGAGGGAGAAGAGGCAGTCTGGGCAGTGTAGGCCTTTCTCAGAGTGCACCCAGCCGTGGGCGCAGCTTGCCCTGGGGGCACCAAGGCTGGCCTGAGGGGAAGAGGAATCCCCGGGTTGGAGTCTAACCTACAAAGCATAACTCTTTTGTCACTACTCCTTCGTATATACGGTGACTGTCTGGAACAACACGTTTGAGGACTTGCAAAGCCAAGCCAGCTTCCATACTTAGATTTAGAGAAGTTGTGGTTTCCTCAGAAGCCACACTTGAGTGCTCCTTCATGGTTAAGAGTATCGGAAGGTCCGGTTTTGAAGTTCTGCTGCTTTCTTGCTGTATGATTTGAACAGGTTGCTTCCTCTCCTGAGCCTCAGCTTTCTATTTTGCAGCACAGCTCACCATGGGGGTGAAGAGTGAGTGTGTGTGTTGAATGTCAGGTGCAACACCCAGACCTCAGTGTCGCTGCACAGTGGAAGTTTGTCTGTGTGCTCCTGACGATGCCAGCTCCGGCCTCTGCCGTCTTCTCCATCCCATCCTTCTCATCACTTTGTTCAGTCACTCATTTATTCATTCACTCATGTTTCATTAGTCTCTCTCAGTCTGATATAGTTCCTGAGTCTTTCCTTGACTTGCATGACCCTGACACTTAGAGGCCAGATATTTTCTAAAAGTCCCTCGTTTGGGGTTTGTCTGATATTCCTTATGATTAGATTTAGATCATGCATCTTTGGCAGAAATATCACATAAGTGGTACCTGTATTTTCTTATTGCATCCTATCAGGAAACATCCAGTTGTAACTTGTCCTATCACTAATGATGTTCACTTTGATCACTTGATTAAGGTGGTATCTGCCAGGCAATGTGAAATTACTGATTTGATGGGAAGGAACTTTGAAACTATATAAATACCCTATTCCTCATTAAACATTAAATTTATTTATTCATACCTGTATATACTTTGGTTTCCTGTTTTATTCAGTGGAATATAATCTGTTAACTATCATTATTTATTTTAATACACGAGTTGGCCCAGCTTTAGCCCATGGTAGGGGACCAGCTGTCCTGTTTGCCTGGGACTGAGGGATTTCCTGGGATACGGACTTCCAGTGCTAAACTGGCAAACCCTGATGAGTTGGTCATGGAACCAGCGGGAGCCCTTCACACTGGCTCCTGTGTCTGCTGGGCAAGGTCCCTATCATTCTGTAAGTACATTGTCCCTACTTTCTGGCACAGTGAGATGTTCCAGGTACATCTTATACTTACTCCGACTTAGCCCTGGAATTATGCATTTCTCCAAGAAGACCTGGAAGCAGGACCTTTGAGTATTAGGCTGCAGCACACCATGGGCACTGGAGCAGATGGAACTCATTCAGCTTCCCTACAGGCCACACTGTTCTCTCTGCCAGGGCCACTTGCTAGATGCCTACCTTCCATGCTGAGCTTCTCCATGAAGACTGATTCCCCACATGCCTCACCCCACACAGCTGACCACCTCCTCTGTGCCCCACTGGGCAGTTTGGGTACCTCCCCGTTTTCCAAGTTGGTCTCCTCTCTCAACTGGAAGCCTCTGAAGGACAGGCCTCAGATTCATCTCTGACTCTTCTATGCTCTGCACAGAGCTGAAGCTGGTTAAATGACTGGATCTAGTCATACCACCTGGTGGAGCAGAAAAGCAAACAGAGGGCAGGGAGGGAGGATGACACACAATGAGTCTTTGCAGGCTGGAGCTGTCCTTGAACTTTGGTTTTCTTAACTAAAATGGGGCTAAGCCCTCAGAGCATTGCTGTAGGAATAAAATGTGGTAATGTGTAGAAAGCCCTTAGGATAGTACTTGTGGTGAGCGCACCTCTCAGTATCTCTGGGAAACATTTTTATTTAATTTTTTTTCATTATTGCAGAAGCAGTACTATATATGTTAGAAAATTAGAAATACAGACACAGCAAGAAGAAAATAAAGCTATTATACGCCCATCATTTATAGATTGCCACTGTTAACACCTTAGCGATTGTGCTTCCCAGGCCTTTTCTGTGCATATATTTTTCCCCCCAAATGAGATTATATCATGCATTCCATTTTGTAACTTGCTTTTCTTCAGGCAGCAACCTCCACCATTTTGTTTCAGTAAATTTTCAGCACATCTAATTAATACTCAGATCATATTCGTATTTTTCCTGTTGTCCCAAATGTGTCCTTATAGCTGTTGTGTCCAAGCCAGTATGTAATCCAGGACCACACTTTCTATCTGGTTATTTGTCCTATAAGTCTTAGTCTAGCCCAGTTCCTTCCTTATGACATTGACCTGTAGAAGAGACTGGGCTAGTAGCCCTGCAGAATGTCTCACCATCTGGCTTTGTCTTGTATTCTTATGGTGACACTTAACATGTTCATCTGTCCATTGTATTTTCTGTTAAGTGAAGCATATCCAGGGCTTGATGAGTTCACTGGTGCCTAGAATACCCAATGGGTAGTGTCTTTCCTGTGTCCTCTCATCACCATTAGTGGTGCCAGGGCCTAACCCAAGATTACGGGGAAGGTGATGTGACCCCTCCCTCATATGGTTGCATGTATTTACTTTTTAGTAGAAAGTAATGTGTGGTTCCCTTGGCACCGTCTGAACACCCAGTTCTGGGAAACCTTTTTAAACTACACAATAGAACTTGTCCATTTGCTGAGGGGAACATTATCCTGGGGTTTGGGCTTTCGGGTGAAAAAAAATCACAGAACAAGGATATGGACTGAGTTTCATCTTGCTGAGTGTAAATCTAGTAAAACCTGGTTCTGTTTTATTTGCTTTCCAGACACGTGATCTAGGTTGAATCCCAGCTTTGCTACTTACCAGCTGGGTGACCGTGGGCAGGTTCCTTAGCCTCTCTGAGCCTTAAGTTCCTTTTTGGATTTCTTGTCTGGTAGAGTTATTGTGGGGGTTAAATTTAAAAAAAAAGTGTCCTCGGCTCTTTTCTCCCCTAGATGGAAAGCTCTTTGAGAACAAGGCTAATAAATAGTAAGAAATCCAAAGATGTTTGTTGGGGGAATTCCCTGCGGTCCAGTGGTTAGGACTCCTGTGCTTCCACTGAAGGGGGCATGGGTTAGATCCCTGATCAGTGAACCAAGATCCCGCATGCTGCACGGTGTGGCCAAAAACAAAACAAAACAAAACCCAAAAGCAAACCAAACAAAAAACAAAGGTGTTTGTTGGATGGCGGAAAAAAGAGAAAAAGGAGGGCAAATGGTGATAAGTACCAGGTGATAAGTACCATGGAGGAAAGACATCATCCATTTAGGCATTTGTTTGTTCATTCATGCTTTCATTTCATTTAACATGTACTCATACCAGGCTCTGTACTGAATCGACTGAACCTCTGCCCATGAAGTTCAGGGACCTGGAGGGCACAGATAAGGAGATTCAGTGTATGGCAGTCCAGAAAGTTGGCTGGGTAATTCAGGAAGACTTCCTAGAGGAGGAGACTGGGATGAATGGGGAGGTTTGGTGGCGGCTGAGATGGGGGAGATAGTCTCTGGATGCAGGGGCTTTTTCCTGACACAGGTGGCTTCTGGGAGGGCTCGACAGGGCTCATGGCAAGAGGTGAGCCCATGCTGGCTTCAGAGGTCACTGTTCCTCCTGTCCTCCTTCTCTTCCTCCGTCCTTGCCTGTCTGCCCTCCCATCCCCTAGCCAGGACTTTGAGCCCTGTGTGACCCTGACAACCCATGTGTCTGTCTGCAGTGCCGGATGGAGTGCCGTGATGTGCCAGCAGAGACGCTCTACGACGTCCTACATGACATTGAATACCGAAAGAAGTGGGACAGCAATGTCATTGAAACTTTTGACATTGCCCGCTTGACAGTCAACGCTGACGTGGGCTATTATTCTTGTGAGCAGACGCGAGCACGCCGATCCCAGCCCCCTCCACCTCCATCCAGGCCTCCCGCCCAGCCTCCTCCTCCCCCCTTCCCTCCTTGGGGTCACTCCCATGGCCAGGCTGCTCAGAGACCTGAGTGCAGAGATGTAGGGCTTCCCTCCCTGAATCCCTATCCACTCCCAGACACTTGAGCACACATACATGTGCACTCACAATCACATATGTACTCCCATGTTCAAGCATACATATTCCACACAAACACACATGCACAGTCATGTACAAAACCCACAGCCACATGCCACCTACTCACAGTCACACATTTCATGGACACACTCACAGTAATACTATTGTTTTCTCATACACTCACATTCATATATGCACACAGATCAGGCCAGCAAGGTAAGGGCTGTGTGAGGCTGTGAGGAGCAGGGATGGCTGGATGCAGGAGGGGAGAGGGTTCTGTGCTGTCTCTTTGCTAGTTCCAGAAACTAGGTCTGGTGGTGGTGGTGGGGTACGTGTTTGGACCAGGGGGAGCTGGCAGTTAACCAGGCATCCCTATGTCTCTGGGCTTTGCCACGACCTTTCAGGCAGGCAGGCCAGCAGTCTGGCTGAACTGTCCCTTGCCCTCTACAGGGAGGTGTCCAAAGCCCCTGAAGAATCGTGATGTCATCACCCTCCGCTCCTGGCTTCCCATGGGCACTGATTACATCATTATGAACTACTCAGTCAAACATCCTGTGAGTCAACCTGCCTTCCGTGCTGGGTGGGCAGGGGAAGGTACCAGCTAGGGCTGGGCCAGCAGGCCTACCCCAGGGAGAGGCCCCTGGCTGCTACCAGGACTTCTCTGTGACTTCAGGCCAGGCAGGAAGACTTCTGTCCCTGTTTCCTTCCTATACAGTGAGAATAATGGTTCCTGTCTTCCTGCTGGGGCTGTCAAGCAGATAAGAAGAGGGCGGTGTGGGCCATCACTGTGGACAAGTGGGTAGGATGGACTGGCTGGGAAAGGGGGAGCAAGAGGTGAGAGGTAGGGTCCTCTGACCCTCCCTGAGTCTAGGTCTCCATGGCAGGCAGGACAGGCAGGTGCAGCTGGCCTGGGCAAGGGTGTGTGTGTGTGCGTGTGCGTGTGTGCGCGTGCTCACGCGCGCCCATGTGTTTGCTCATGAGCCCTGACCCCAGACTTGGGTCTTTCTGGAGGGGAACAGGGGAAGGTTAAGAGGGGCAAGGGTGACTCCTGACTCCTCCCTTTCTCCTCACCCCAATATCAGGCCTGGCCTGGAGTGGATGCCAGGGGATGTGAACCAACTCTGTGTGTGTGTGTTAAGTGTGCTTACAAAGACACCTTCTTTTCCCACACCTTGAGTCTCACCTCCCTGTGCCTTCCATCCCCAGAAATACCCACCTCGGAAAGACTTGGTCCGAGCTGTGTCCATCCAGACGGGCTACCTCATCCAGAGCACGGGGCCCAAGAGCTGCGTCATCACCTACATGGCTCAGGTGGACCCCAAAGGTGAGGGCTTGGCCCTGGAAGCCCATCATGGGATCCTTCTGTATACCGCAGGGGATGGGGCTTGATCTACTTGATCTACTGGGATCCAGAAGGGCCTCTGTTAGGAGGTGTTTTGTATCTGGGGGCATCTACACCCAAAACATTCTTTGAACCAAACTTTGAGACTTTACAATGGTTTGAAAAAGCAAGGGCCAAGGTGGTAGCCACTGCTCCATGACGAAGCTTATAGCACTCTTCTTGGACGCCCACTCCCCCACGCTCTGACTTGCTCCCTGCTCACTGGCTGCTCCCACTCTGCCTTGTTGGCTTCCATCCTGAAGGTCTGGGTTTCCTAGGCTCCAGTCCTTTTTCCCTTGGGAGGGCTCAGCTACTCCCCAGGCTTCTGTGGCTAGGCTGACCGCATGTTTCTCTTTGCTGAGATCCAGATCCCGGTGGCCATTGGCCTCTTGGACGTGGCCCTCAGGGTGTCTCTTAGGACCTGAGGCTCCCTGTGTCCAATGATGAACTTACTGTCTCCCTTCCTAACTTGCCCTTTCTCCTAAGTCTCTTCCTTCCTGTCACTCATGCCAAAAACCTGGTGGTTGTCTGGGGTCCCCTCTTCTCAGCTCCCAAATCTAGCCACTAATTATTGATTTTACCTCCTAAATAGCTCCTGAATCTGTCATTTCTTTCCATACTCAGCGACCTTGTCTGTCCGTACAGCTACCAGAGGGATTTTTCCAAAGGACTTATTTCCTTGTGACTCTCTCCTGCTTAAAGTCCTTTTGTGACTTTCCATTGCCCTCAGAGTAAAGTCCAAGCCCCCTCCCCAGGTTTCCCAGTCCCTCCTCATAGCTTACACCTTCCTACCTATCTAAGCAGCCCTTTCCCTCGGCCTAGAAACACCTCTCTGCCCTTACTCATCCCTCCAGGGCTGCTTCACCACCTCTATCCCTGATACCCAGAGGAGTTGCTGGCTCCCTGCCCTGTGGACCCATCCCCCTCTAGCAGAGTACTTGGCATACTGTTGGGGCCCCCCAGACAGTGAGTTCCTCTCTCGGTCCCCAGGGCTGGTCCAGGGTGGGTATCACTGAGTGAACGTGGAGTGAGTGAAGGAATGGATGAATGACTAGAGGAGGGGTAAACCTTGAGCATCTTTGCCTGGGTATGCCCCCAGCACCACCGAGGGCCCACTGGCCCAGGCCCAGAGCTCCCCGGCACCTCACTGAGTGAGTTTATTGTGTGTCAAAGGCAGAGCAGACACTTGGGAATCAGACAGGGTGGAGAGCTGGGTTGTGGATTCTAGGTCAGGACAGGCTGGAGTGCTTAGCCAAGAGGTCTATGTAGCAGCTAGGCTTCCTGGGCCAGGGGGCTTGGAAGGACAGGCAGAGCAGCGGATGAGCACCAGGGCCATTCAAGGTAGAGGGACTGGGTATGAGAAAAGGGAGGTCAGTGTGAGTAGAGGGGAGGCAGCAGGTGGGAGTTCGACTGGCCAGGATTTCAACCCAGGTGTTGCCTGTGGTCACCTAGGACCCTGTGGTTTTCTTTTGTGTAGCCCTTGGGCTCAGCAGAGGGCAGAGGCAGGGGGTGGTGGAGGTGGGAGGTTAACAGAGTTGAGCCTGAGGACCATGGTCTGAGGTAGAAAGAGGGGGTGAAGATGATGAAGTCTTATAGGACTTGCCTCACAGCACCCCCTCCCTAAGGAGAAGAGCGTGTCCTCCCTGGAAGCCCCAGGCTGGAGTGAGGGGGCTGGTGTGTGTGTTTGTGGGGGGCTGGTTCCCTGAGGTTGCTGCTTCCCTTTTCTCCTCACTACCCGTTCCTGCCCTCATAGGCTCCTTACCCAAGTGGGTGGTGAATAAATCTTCTCAGTTCCTGGCTCCCAAGGTGAGTGGCCTTGGGACTTTGCGGGTGTGGAGGTTGGGGGAGAGGGTTCCAGGATGAGGGGGTGGGGTCAGGGGCGGAGCTAGGACTGAGGGGCGGAGTTATGAAAACCGGATCAAGAGTCAGGATCCTGGGAGCTGCGGACTGAGCCGCTGGAGGGCGCGGGAGGGGATGTGGTGAAGACAGTTCGCTCCCACCTCACCCCTTACTCGGCGGTGCGGCGGCTCCGCAGGCTATGAAGAAGATGTACAAGGCGTGCGTCAAATACCCTGAGTGGAAGCAGAAGCATCAACCACACTTCAAGCCGTGGCTACACCCAGAGCAGAGCCCGTTGCCGAGCCTGGCGCTGTCGGAGCTGTCTGTGCAGCACGCGGACTCGCTGGAGAACATCGACGAGAGTGCGGTGGCAGAGAGCCGGGAGGAGCGCATGGGCAGCGCGGGCGGCGAGGGCAGTGATGACGACACTTCGCTCACCTGAGCGCAGCACCACAGCAGGGACCAAGACAAGACGGGGCGGAGCCCAAGGGTGGCGGATGCTCCTGCGCTTTCTCCCCTCCCCCACTCCTTGCGCCTCCTGGGGACGCTGGGCTCCGGCCCCGGCTGGCGCTGCGGCGTGGCTGGACACAGCCCCAATAAACGGTCCAACAGACTCAGCCGGCTCATCACTGTGCCTGCTTCCCACTTGCTCAGGGCACAGGCGCCGCCCTCGGTCCCTCTGTTCTACAGTTCATTTTGTTAATTTTATTATTGATCACATGGACTTTGCTCCTTTAGATATCCCCTCATTTCCCGATGTGCAGCTCGGAACACACCCCCTCCAGTCCCTGGTGTATTCATTATCCTTGCATCCATTCATTAGTTCACTCTTCATCCATCCACCTGTCCTTGTTGTGTGTTCATTCGGCCATTCACTGCAGGCTATTTGGCTGCCTTTTGCTGCTCTAAGAGAAGGAGCAGGTCTGGCCAGAGGCCCGGGGTCAGGGGTCAGAGAGTGGGGTTCTATTGTAAGACCTTCAGCCTAAGGCCGCCTGGGTCCAACCTATGAACTCGGGGTCTGACACTCTCCAGTTGTGACAGAAGGAGGGGGAGAGGTCCTTGGGGGCAGCATGTTCGGCAGGGAGTTTGGGGGTTGAGGTGAGTGTCATCAGACTCCAGTGCAGTGGAGGGACCAGGCTCTGTGACTTGAGCCCTCCGTAGATCATTTAGAAGACCTCAGGCCTGTGTTAACGGAAAGGGAGGTGCCTCCAACCCCTTGCCAGTGGTCAGATGCCAGTTCCCTGATCCTGTGTTCCACTTGGCTGCTTTGATGTCTAGGCTTTGAAGTCTAGAGGGATGCCTGGGCCTCTCCTGTTCTCTGTATCCCACAGGTGCCCTCTGCTGCCTGAGGGTCACACCCCGCTATCAGGTCGGGAGGAGGGCCCCGTGCTCCACCCCTCTCCAGTGTTTTTGTACCCCATATGAATTTTGAGCCGGAAGTTCTCCCCAAGGTCTGGCCTTACCCTCTCCCGGGAAGCAACTTAACTTTGCCTGTCAGGAAGACACTTGGAGTCTACTTTTTCCTAGAGGGGCAGGGTGAATGTCCAGTAGGGGTAGGCAGGACATTCTGTAACTCACCAGGACTTGGCCAATTTACCCAATACTGGCTTTGTAACTTTGGGCAAGCCCTGGAACTTCTTTGGAGCCTCATTTCCTAATCTATATCCTGGTGTGATGATTTTTCATCTTCAGGCAGATTGAGATAAAAGGAATAAGTTGCCCAGCACTGGGCTTGGCATGTAGTAGGTTCTCAAATTAATGACACCCAATCTCAGCCCTGGACACAGGACCTAGGAATGCCTGCCAAACCCCAGACCCTCGACCCTCATATGTGTGTATGCTGGCAGGATGGGTGGAAATCTCCCATTCTCTAGGCCAGGGAAGTTGCCTGGCAGCCAGGACCTCAGGCTGCCGCCTTTATAAAGCCAAGGAATCCATGGGCCCTCTGACTAGAATCTTCCCCACCACCCTGCTCCTGAGAGATGTGGGCCCAGGGAGAGAAGTAGGATTTTCTCGAAGAATGAAGTGGGTAAGGACTTCCTGGAGGAAGAGGTCAGGGACTTTGGTCTTCCAGCTTCCAACTGCCCCTTTCCGCTCTGTGGGTGGGGCGGTTTGTGGCTTGCCCCTCCCAGGGAGAGGGGCGGCAAGAGGCAGAGAGACTCAGGAAGAGATGAAGACTCAGAGGGCGGGTGTGGTGGAGGTAGACCGGAGCCTCAGGAGACGGAGACGGACCTGTGAGCAGCGAGAGGGACAGGAGAGACGCAAAGATCAACCTGTCCGCAAGGCCGGCCAGGCCAGAGGACTCGAACACCGTGACTAGGCGTGGCCGGGAAGGGGGCGGGTCCCTGGGAAGGGGGCGTGTCCCTGCCCCCTTCCCGGTCCTCCCCTCCCCGGGGCGTCACGTGGGGCGGGCGGAAGCGCCCGGCAGGGTGGGCGCGCCCGGCCTGCGGCCGCGAGTTGGCTGCACCGGCGTCGGTGGTGGCCCCGGGACCCCGGGTCCCCGCGTCCCCGCGTGGAGTCTTCGCTCAGAACAGGTCAGTGCGGCTGCCGGGCCCTCCCCGTCCGCTGCCCCTTGGCCAGGTGTGGCCAGGAGTTTCCCCATTCCGCAGAAGGGAACGCGGAGGCCGCGAGGCGACTCTGCGCCCGGCGACTACTTCCGCGGGCGTTTCTCTGGGTCACGTCGTCTGTTCTGACTGATGGTGGTGATGGGGTCGCCTCTGGAGGATGCGCGGTCGGGCTAGAGACGGTAGGGAGGAGGGCGAACCGGCGGGACAGGGGGCTTCCAGCCTTCAGTCCTTTGGCGTGAAGTCTCTAACGTTCCGGAGCCAACCCGCTCTCGGGCACCTTGATTTTCTCATCTGTGAAATGAAGGCTCCCACTTCGTTGACTGCGGAGACCCTTACCGGTCTGCAAGTTCGTATGACGTTAGGCGCTGGACCTGGGGCTCCACTGATCTTGGGCAGACTACTTCGGGGCTCTGCGCCTCAATTCCCCACCAGTAAATGGGGGCATGGCTTCCCAAGAGCCCCTACCTGGCCCAGTTGCTGGAAAAAGAAGGAGGTGTGTGTTCACTGAATGGGGTCAACCCGGGAGTGGGTTATTGGGACTGGAGAGAGCAGACTCCGAGTGCAGCCTGAGGGCATGGGGTGGGCGTTTGGTCCCAGATCTCCAGGGGGTGGTTTTTAGTGCTGGGGAACTCTGGTCGGTATCTGGCATATGCACCCTCACTCCCCCAGAGCTCCTGCCGTGGGGAGCCTTCCCCAATCCCCAGGGCTGCAGGGTTGGACAGATATATGGAGGTACTCAGAGAAGGATTTGACTGTTGGCCGAGCGGGGTCCAGACAGAGGCACCCAGGATACCTGTCCTCGGAGAGCAGAATGTCCAGGCTAGGAGAGACCTCCCAGCAAGCTCATTACAGGGTAGAAGGAGCCCTGCGGAGTCAGAAGACAGGTGCAGACAGGTACTGGGATGGAATCAGGCACTGGGACTCTTGGAGGCTCAGGAAGGAGGAGATGGTTGGAATGGGCCATGGCAGTTAAGTGGTAGTTCACAATGATAAGGACCCTCAGAGGAGGGTAAAGCTTGTGTAGAGGCAGGAACTTGCATGGTGTGTTTGAGGAATGGCAAGGAGATGGAAGTGGCTGGAATGGGTAGCTGGGGTAGAGTGTAGAGAGAACCAATCCCCTGGTCCCGTGGCTCGTTGAGGGCTGCTCAGACCCTGGCTTGGGGAATCCTGTCTTCCCATTTGCTGCTTGCTCACTGGAATAGGGCAAGAGGGGGTTGTCCCAGGCAGAGCCCTGACAACTGTGAGGTGGAAGTGGGCAGGTTGCTCCCAGGCTTCGTTGGGGCATTCAGGCCTCCGCAGTCAGCCCCAGCCTCACCCCCACCATCACTTGGACTCCAACCATGCCTTTCCACACATCACGCCTCAGCCCTTTGTGCAGGTTGCTTGTCCTCCCCGCTACCCTACAGAAGTTTTCTCCTCTTCCAAACCTCCCAGGTCCTTTGGGACTTAAGAGGTGGGCTTTCTCCTGCCTAGCCTTTCAGTGAGTGCTGTGTAGGGCACCACTTAGGAAGGGTCTCCTTGGAGCTCTGTGGGGAAGGGGACTGCAGAACCGTGGGGGTGACTGGAACCTGGGATGGTCCCTGTGCAGCCACCAAACACTATGTGACTGTAAGTTCCCAAACCTCTCCATTTCCCCATCTGCTGGGTTGGGTGATAAGCCCTGGCCCCATGCTCCAAAGAGAGACTGCTGGAGCAAGAACTGGGCCTCAGTCTAATTCCTTCCCCCAGCAGTGAGTGTTTGAATGAAGAAAAGGGAGAACCTGGGGGGAAGGGGTCACTTCAGAGGGGTAAGGGGCCTCTGAGAGTCCTAGGGACTAGTTGTGGACTAGACTAGTACAAAGCCCTAGGACAGAGGGGAGTCCCCTCCACTCTCCGGGGGCCCTCTCCCCTCCCCACCCCACTCTCCCTTTGGCCAAGCTCAAAGCCAGCCAGCTGATGCCCAAACAAGTGGCCTCTGTTCCCAGGATGGGGGGAGGGGAGGCAGGACCTGGGCTGCAGGCCCGTCTGTCCAGCACTGACCCTGGCCCCCCATCCTTCACTCTGGATCTTAACCCTTGGGGGCCTGAGATGGGCCCTGGACTGCTTGAAGGCTGGTACCCCTTACCCACCAGCTGTCCCCTCCACCCCACTTTAGGGTCCCAAGGGTTCTGCTGTAGCAGGAGGGGGTGCAGTAGGACATGAATTGGAAATGGAGAAGGAAAGGAGGGAACGGAGGTGGGAGGGAGGCTGAAGCAGATATGGCCGTGTACAGAGATCACTTGGCCCAGAAGCTTTTCTCATAGATGAGGAGACTGAGGCCAGGGACCAGAGCTCAGACCAGGATCACACAGCAAGCCCTAGTGGGGTCAGGACTGACCCGACTCCTAGTCTGGGCCCTCTTGGGGAGAAGAAAGGGAAAGGGAGGGACCTCTACTTGATTTGAATACCTTCGGTGTGCCTGACAATGCACATTTGTTACTTTATTTAACTTTACATCATTCCATGAGACAAGGGTCATCCTCCAGTGAGACAGGGGAAGAAACAGCCTCGGAGAGAGCTGAGTAATAATATCAGCGAGAATGACGCCGGCAAACATGCACACAGCACCTTTGTGGGCACTATTACGAATGTTAACCAGTTGCATCCTCCCAACAAGCCTAGAAGTTAGGCACCATTCTACAGATAAGGAAACTGAGGCACAGAGAGGTTAAGTAACTTGCCCAAGATCACGGCAAATTAAGTGGTAGAGGCAGGATCAGGACCCAGGCATTTGTTTGCCTCCTTTGGCCTGATTTCCCCTCCCCCAGCCTGACATCACTCCTTGAGCGCAGTCCAGGGTCCCACTCAGTTAGGGGCTTTCCCCTGGGTGGTGGCCAAGGCAGCCTCGAGCAGAGTG